CTCTATATGTTGATGACCTTATTTTTCTAGGCAGTGATATTCAGATGATAGAAGAACTCAAGAGCACCATGACACGCGAATTCGAAATGACAGACTTAGGTCTGATGAGATTGTTTCTTGGTCTGGTGGTTCGACAAGAAGAAATTGAAATCTTTATCTCACAAGAAAAATATACAAAAGAAATCTTGGAGAAATATAAGATGAAAAACTGCAATCCAACATCGACACCAATGGAACCAGATGCAAAACTGTCAAAATTTGATGTAGGAGAACGTGTCGAAGTAAGCAAATATCGAAGCTTGGTAGGTAGTCTTCGCTATCTCACATGCACAAGGCCAGACATTTCACTAAGTGTTGACATTGTAAGTCGATTCATGGAGGAGCCAGTACACAAACATTGGAAGGTATTGAAACGAATCCTAAGGTACATCCAAGGAATAATGTCACTTGGAATGTTTTATTCAAGAACAGGAGACTACAAGTTAGTTGGTTATTCTGACAGTGACTAGTGCGGAGATATAGACGATCGAAAGAGCACTTCTAGATATGTGTTCTTCATGGGAAATACATAATTTACTTGGCTATCAAAGAAGAAATCGATAGTAACACTTTCGACGTATGAAGCTGAATATGTGGCAGCATCTTGGTGCATTTGTCATGCAGTATGGCTTAGAAGATTGACGAGCAAGATGGAGCTAAAACATGAAGGTGCAACAATAATACAAGTGGACAACAAATCAGCAATCAAATTGTCAAAGAATCTAGTAAATCATGAAAGAAGCAAACACATTGACGTTCGATTCCACTTCATTCAAGAACATGTGAAGGAAGGAAGTGTCGAATTTAAGCATGTCGCAAGTAAGGATCAAGCAGCAAATATCTTCACAAAACCATTATTGAAGGAAATTTTCGACAGAGGCAAGAAAATGATAGGCATGATGGATGGAAGAAACATTTAAGTTCACAGAGGAGTTTTGTTGAGTAAACTTTAATGTCATTAGTAGTGGGTTTTCTTATTAAATAAGGTAGTAGGAAGGTTAAGAACCAAATGTAATTTGGTAGGTCAAGAGTTAGTAGGTTATAATAGTTTTTATTAGTAGCAGTTATCTTTCTTAGAATTGTAGAAGTCTTTTGGATCTATATAAAGACCAAGATTGTATTTTATTTTCAGAACAATAAGATATAAAAGTTTGCCTCTTTTCTCAAAACTTTCTAGGAAGAGGACGTGGACGTGGAGGTCGTGTCAGTGGTCGAAGTGGTCGAGGCAGCACCTTCGAGAGAGGACAATCAAACCAACAAAATTGGCGTGGCAGAGGACGTGGTCAAAGAGGTGGTCGATCGAACCACTCCAACTTCGAATGCTACAAGTGTGGGAAGTATGGTCATTACGTGAAGGATTGCAACTCCTACAAATGTTACAACTGTGATAAAGTGGGACATCTTGCAAAAGATTGTCGAATCGAAAAGAAGATTGAAGAAACAACCAATCTAGCCTTGGAACCTAAAGCGAATGAAGGATTTCTCCTGATGGCTCAAAACGAAATCAACACCAATAATGACAATGTTTGTTATCTTGACTCAGGAGCAAGTAATCACATGTGTGATTACAAATACCTGTTCAAAGAAATGAAGAAAATTGAAGATGGTAACGTGTCTTTAGGAGATGCATCAAAAGTGAAGGTCGAAGGAAATGGCACAATCAGTTACTTGCAGAAGGATGACTTGATTGGATCAATCGAAGATGTTTACTATGTGCCAGATCTCAAGACCAATATCTTGAGTTTGAGACAACTTACAGAAAAAGGTGTTTCAATACTTATGAAAGATCGAACACTGCATTTGAAGGACAAAACATGACATCTGATCGCCTGTGTCGAAATAGAAAGAAATCGAATGTACAAACTGTATCCGACTATATCACTCGTGTACAAAAGGTGGTGAAGCAACTCACCAGAAATGGTGAAACAATAACTGATGCACGAGTTGTTGAAAAGATCTTGAGATCTTTAACAAACAAAAACCTCATTTCAAAAGAAGGCAGAATATCAAGCTAAACATATTCTCGAATTAATCCGTACTGACATATGTGGGCCAATCACCCCAGAATCTTTCAGTGGAAAAATGTACTTCATTTCCTTTATCGACGATTTCTCACGAAAGATCTGGGTTTATTTCTTGAAAGAAAAGTCTGAAGCATTAGAAGTGTTCAAAAAGTTCAAAGTTTTGTTGGAGAATGAGGCAAACTTTTATATCTTGTTGTTCTGAAAATAAAATACAATCTTGGTCTTTATATAGATCCAAAAGACTAAAATTGTATTTTATTTTCGGAACAACAAAATATAAACGTTTATCTCTTTCTCCAACAAAACTTCAATCGAAGTCTGCTCCTGATTTAACACATAAAACTCCTAGAAACTCTGATAAAATGCCAGATTAAAATCGTCGGGCCCGGAGGAATTGTTGGGGTGCATGTCACAAAGACTTCGTAGAGCTCTTCCTCCGAAACTAGCCGCAACAGCTTGGCATTATCCTTATCACTAAGAACCGGATAAAACAAGCTAAAAACCTGGTCGTACTTGCCTCCTGTAGCTGTGAACAAAGAGTCAAAATATTGCCTAGCCACATTACAAAGACCTTCCTGTTATCAGTACCATCATCATTCTTTAACAAGTCAATTTGCTTAAATTTTCTCCTCGTCGTTGCCGATTGATGAAAAAATCGAGTGTTACAATCTCCACCGTGGAGCCAATGCATTTTAGCTCTTTGTTGCCAATATAGACCCTCCTTAAGAAGAACCTTATCGTATTCACTTTGGTGTCAACTCCAAATCATGGCAGCTATGATAAGCTTCCATCATAAATTTATGTAGAATTCTGAAATGTATTTATGGACATTAACCGTATAAAAATACATTAACTTAGATCAGATATATATAGTGTTTTTTATAAATTATATGAGCACATACGTAATATATGAGTATTTATATGATACAGACAGTGCCATGAAATGAAATATCTTATTAGAACTCAAGTTTTGTAAGTATTTGTAATAATCCACGTAGTTGCACAGTGAATGTGCCAAAGTCAGAGCACCTTTCTTGCTTTAGCAAATACTACCAATAATACTTCTAGCCGCCCATGAGAACATGCACATCCATTATAACTGCGTGTGCATAAAATTCCATATAACGACAAAAACTTTATTGTTGATTTTCTTCTATTAGTAAATGCTTATTTTCAACTCCATCATCATCTTATCTTATTCATTGTCTTATTCTTTAATGGCTAAACTATTTATGTTAAATATAACTATTATTGTACTCAGACTAGTTTTAACCCTTAAGTTTCTAGAAGCAATTTTCTTATAGTTAATAATTGAAGTGTAGTTTCAGTTATCAATTTAATTATAGAGAAAATTTAAATATAATTTTTTAAATGTGTTTTTTAGCTAATTTTTAATAAAAATATGATAAATATATTTGAATATTATTCAAGAGTGAAAATAAGAATTTTTTTATATATATGAAAGAAATTATATATTAATTATATTTTCATTTGAAAATAAAAAAAAATTATATTTAAGTTTTCTTCTTTATTATAATAGTTTTTATTTATTTATTAATTTTAAATCTGAACAATGTGATTTTGATAGTATAATATATGTTTGTTTTGATAGCGAAGTTGTGTGGTTATCTAAACATATATAATTATATTTTTAATTTATCTATTTTTTTTAAAAAATTTCACTTTTTCTTATTTGAATAATATTATTAAAATAAGTTGAAAAAATAATTTAAATTGAAATATTAATTATAAAATCGAAAATTTCAAAGTCAATTGAAAAGGTCCCAAGTTTTATTTTTACATATAAGAGAATTTGTTAAATTTTCTTCCCACGTGACAAATTCATTTTAAAATAAAGTCGACATTTTTATTTTAATAAACCAATTATATATAATAAGGATATTTGATAACACTAAGGAAGGATGGTTTGGATGGCAATACCAACAATAAGTTGGGCGTTTTTGTTTTGTCTTTTTTTTATTTATTTTTAAGATCTTAGATTAGCACCTTTTAATGTCTGTTTTTCTTTCTTTATATTTTGTAGATATTAATATTAATATAAATTTTTATAATTTTTAAGTTTAAATTATTTACGCTTCAATCTTGTTTTCATTTTTTATAAAACTGATTTAAGTTTAAAGTCGGAATCTTTTAAAATATTTATCTTTTTTTTATTTTATTTTTAATAATATTTTATTAGACGAATCTAAATGAGACGATTATGTCTGTTTGTCACTCTCATAAATGATAAAATTAATATAATTTTTTTTGTATTTTTTTTGTGAGATAGACAAGATTTTAAACCTGTATATTATAATATATTTGTCTCGAATTTTTTTTTTTTTGAATTTTTGTGGATGCAAACATGAAAATAAATTTTTGTAATTTTTAAGTAAAAGATGCATTAGTTGCGAGTCTGCCTTGTCCCACCCTTAATTTTTGTGTCCAACCTTGTGAAGTCTTCCAATATTATTTTGATAGTAAAGTTTGTCTTTTACTTTACCTCCATATATATAATAATAAGAAAATGATTACAAACAAACAAAAAAATAAAATAAAATAAAAGTATTACCCAAGTTGATAAAGCGCGTGGTGTTCACTCTCCTATATTGAAAAGTCAGTTAAACAAGCTATAGACAAGACACACAAACACACCTAATCTAACACCAGCAGCCAGAAAAAAATGTTACTAAATCCAAAATATCATATTTTGACCAAAACCTCGTTTATTGTTCATTGATTTGATTCCATTTTTCATTTCTCAACTCCATTATTTTCACTTTCTCTTCTAAATTCTCCATATTTTTCTTCACTCACCCCTTTTCCTCTTTTGACTCATCAATCATCACCATCCACACAAAAGTAGAAACTTTTCAACTACAAAAAAACATATAACCTCGTCCCAAACAAGGTTGAAAAACACAGCACAATCAAAAGATGAAGATTGTTCTTGTGTTTCCTTTCTTTCTATGTATGATGAGTATTTCAGCAGCTCCTACTCCTTCTCCATCAACAACGTCATCATCCATATGTCCTATGGATCTTAACTATGTCCTAAGAATCCATTGGAACTCATCTTCTTGTCAAAATTTGAAGCCTCTAGAATCAAACACAAGCAATTGTTGCATATCACTTTTGTCTCTCTTTGGAATAGGATTAGCCCAACATCTAAAAGAAACCTCACAGTTCAATCTCCAAGACCTTCAAACTTCACTCTCATGCATGAAAGATTTTCAGTCAAAGCTCAATTCTTTATCACTTTCAAACAACCTTGTCAACTCTTGTTTTGACCCTCTTCAATTTGTTATCTCACCGAACATATGTGCAGGTATTGAAACGGTTCATGATTGGAATCAGAAGTTGGGTCAGAACACCAATCTGAATACTGCCTGTAAGCCAGATCTAACTGATCTTTCTCAGTGTGATGTTTGTTTAGCTGCTGGTTTACAGGTTAAGCAGAAGCTTGTTTCGATTGATGGTAATTCTTCTCATTCGTTGGATTGTTTCTACTTTGCAATTCTTTATGCTGCTGGGATTGTGAATGAGTTTGGACCTGAAAGTAACGGTGCTGTTACTTGTACTTTTAGTTTACCTGTTTATTCACAAATTGGTTCTGGTTCTAAGAGTCGTCAGGGTCTTGTGTTCGGGTTAACCGGAGCTGGTGTTGCGTTGTTTGTTATGAGTTCTCTGTTGGGTTTATATGTTTGGTATGATAGGAAACGTATGAGGGAGAGAAAGCTTGAAACTTTTCAATTTGACTTTGATCCTGAGGAACAAGGCTCTAGGCGAAGGTTGAGACCGAATACCGGGTCGATTTGGTACAAAATTCAGGAACTTGAGAAAGCTACTGATAATTTTTCATCCAAGAATTTCATTGGGAGAGGTGGGTTTGGTTTGGTTTTCAAAGGAACTTTGGCTGATGGATCTGTTGTTGCGGTTAAGAGGGTTTTGGAATCTGATTTTCAAGGGGATGCTGAGTTTTGTAATGAAGTTGAGATTATTAGTAATCTTAAGCATAGGAATTTGTTGCCTCTTAGAGGTTGTTGTGTGGTGGATGAGAGTGAGAATTATGGTGATAGAGGAAGTCAAAGATATCTTGTTTACGATTACATGCCGAATGGTAACCTCGAAGATCATCTTTTTGTGTCGAAGGATCCTTCGAAGCCGAACAAATCGTTGACTTGGCCTCTAAGGAAGAACATAATCTTGGATGTAGCAAAAGGGTTGGCTTATTTGCATTATGGAGTTAAGCCTGCAATTTATCATAGGGATATCAAAGCTACCAATATTCTACTTGATGAAGATATGAGGGCAAGAGTTGCTGATTTCGGACTTGCGAAACAAAGCAGGGAGGGCCAGTCTCATCTCACTACTAGGGTGGCGGGGACTCACGGTTATCTAGCGCCGGAATACGCGCTTTATGGTCAACTGACTGAGAAAAGTGATGTGTATAGCTTTGGCGTGGTTGTTTTGGAGATAATGTGTGGGAGGAAGGCTCTCGACTTGACTTCGTCAGGATCGCCACGGGCGTTCTTGATTACGGACTGGGCTTGGTCGTTAATAAAATCGGGGAAAATAGACGAGGCTTTGGATGCTTCTCTTTTGAAAGACGAAAACAATGCTAGTTCAAATCCTAAGAGCATAATGGAAAGGTTTTTACTTGTTGGAATTCTGTGTTCTCATGTAATGGTCGCTTTGAGACCGACGATTTCAGACGCTTTGAAGATGTTGGAAGGCGATATCGAAGTTCCTCAAATTCCAGACAGGCCTATGCCTCTTGGACATCCTTCATTTTATAATAATGAATCCAATGGCAACACTTTTAGCATTTCTCCGGCGTTAAGCGGCCTCAAATTGCCCGCGGGAGACATGCTCAGGTAATAATCGCTTTTATATCTCTTAAAATGTAGAACCGTGGAAGCTGTTTTCGATCTATGGTCTGCCCCGATATTCGACCTCATTTGAGACTAATAAACAAATGAGACCATACCATGTTACAAGTTGATTTCGTGAAGATCTCAAGACCGAAAGCATCAAGAAATTTAGCAGCTAGAGTATATGTAATAGTTTAGGATATTAGAAGATTATCTTGTAAGAAGGTTTGCATGAATTGCTTTTAGTTGTTTTCTTTGTAAAACAAGGCATGTGAAAATAAATCTGTATATAAAGAAAAATGTTTTGTTTGGTGAAAAGTTAGTGTTATCTGCTCTGTAACATTAATACCTCTGGAAAAAATGTGTGTTTGTTTTGTGTGTGTCTATGTCAGTGTTAGACACTGACACCGACCAACACCAACACTTATGATTTAAATTAACTTTTTAAATTATTATCGATATCGATGTATTTATGTACAGTGTGTTTTGTGTGTATCTTGGAATAAAGTAAATAATGGTGTACTTATTTTCTATGCTTAAAACAGGTCAACTAGTGAGAGATGATTGATGAGCTAGCCCTCAAATGGATCTGCAAGTCAAGGATCTAACTTTTTTTGTTTGTTTAAATGCATAACATTAAAGTAGAGCAAAAATCATTTATTTCTTTTGTCCTTCTACTTTTCTTTTTGAATAGTTTTGGTATATACTTGTAAGTAGTTTAAGATAGTTTTTCAGATTTACAAAATTTCTGTATAAAATATGTATATGATCATGTTTTTTATGCTCATAGTCAAACTAAAGAAAGTAAGGCACAGGAGGGTGAAGCTGGATCCTCTGCAGTTGACTTTTTGCGGTACTCACGCAATATGAATCCTCAGCAATTGACTTTTTATGGTATTCACGCAGTGAGAATTTTATAAACCGTTTGATTTTGATTGCACAGTTAAAAAATTATTTATTTCATATTTTTAAAATTATCAATTTAAAATTATAATTGTTCAATTTTGTTCGGACGATTATCAATGCTTAAATGTGTGAATGCAAGGAATTTTGACTTTGACTGCAAGAAATCACAATGCTTAAATATGTAACTGCAAGAATTTGACCGCATGAAACTGCACCTCAGTAACATCTTGCAATGGACCCGGTTCAATAACTTTGAGGTAGAAAAGTCACATGACTTTGAACTAATCATGTCTAATAGATATCAATCAAGTAGATACCGTCACATATTTAAACTTTAATAAGAAAATTTTAATATCATCAAAAATCCATATCCAAATGGCATGATTTAGTCCACTTGATTAATATCCAATGAATATGATTGGCTCAAAGTCGTGTAACTTTTCCGTCTCAAAGTTACTGGATTCAAATCCATCTTGCAATTGAGTGCATCATGGTGAGTAGAGAGATAGGTTAAGTGATGGTGTTTGAAGAATTGATCTGAGTTGATTGGATCAAAACAGAGAACAAATGTCTGATCAATTAGCAAAAGTAAGTGGCGTTTAATTGGTAAGATTTGTGATTTATTTCTGAAAAAGTTTTTGTGTACAACATGTTACTTTTGTGCAAAAGTTTTTCTGAAAAAGTTTAATTTGGTCAACTTTAGCAATGCATATCTCTCTCATTTATGACCCTAAGAGGGTGTTCTTGGACTTTTTAGAAATCTTAGGATGTCCTCTAAACAACCTTTTTAGTTTCATCTCAATTGGATCTTCCATGTTCATGTAACAAGCTTTGACCCAAAAAGTGTTTTTGTTGACTTTTTGAAATGACCTATAATGTATGAACTTGTAACTTTTGATTGAAGCATTTCTTGACCTTGAGGGATGAAGAGAAGTTGTAGGGAATTGGATTCTCTTCAACATGAGCCTTGGCTGGAAAATTTATAATAAAGTATGAGAAAGTTATGTCTGGTTAAAATTTAGTTGACTTTTCCTATAGAAATTCTAAATTGCCATTTTTTACTTTTGATGAGTTAGGAGCATTTCTTGAGGAATCATGGTCAACCCTTGATCAAATGATGAGTATTACCTCAAAATGTTGATGTTGACCAAAAATCTTGGAGTTTGATTATATTTGGGCTACAATTGACTTTTGACCTAGTATAGTTGATTTTCAGGTACTTGAGCAGTTGACTAAGCAAACTTGTTGTGCAAGGCATGAAAATTGGCATGGATGATCTTGAGGACATATTAGGAAAATGGAGACCATTTGGGACCCTTGTAAATCAACCATGTTGATGAGGAGTGAAACCCTAGTTTGAGGCTTATTGTCTTAGGAAGAGGATTTTCCTGGTCAATCCTTAATCAATCTGAGCAATTGAGGACCTCTAGGAGTATGTCTTGTGTGAAAATGGGAGGGAAAATTTTGGGGTACAACAATACCAAATCAAAATTAATTTATTTTGTAGGTTTGCTTGAGGACCACTTTAAATCTATGATGTTTTATAAGTGGTGGCTCTAAGCATTTGATGGGAGACATAAAATAGCTTTCAAATCTAGTTCAAAAAGTCCAAGGGTTATTTCACATATGAGGAATACCTTAAAGGAAGAATTCTTGGCACATGCAAAGTTGAAGCACTAAATTTCACATCCATTGAAGACTTAATTTGTGTTGAGATACTAAAGCTAAATCTTCTAAGTAAAATCCAACTTTGTGACAAAGGCTTCAACATCATGTTCTCAAAAAGATGAAAGGTCTATAAAGTCACTCTTGAGGTGAAGCTCACTAGTATAAATTGTTTTTATATTCAATAATTTATTTATGTATTATAAAAATTTTCCCATTCTTTTTGCTAATGACAAAGGGGGAGAATATATATATATATATATATATATATATATATATATATATATATATATATATATATATATATATATATATATATATATATATATATATATATATATATATATATATATATATATATATATATATATATATATATATATATATATATGTGTGTGTGTGTGTGTGTGTGTGTGTGTGTGTGTGTGTGTGTGTGTGTGTGTGTGTGTGTGTGTGTGTGTGTGTGTATGTGTATGTTTGTCTCTAACTATTGCAGTCCAAAAGGTGTAAAATTCTCTAAATCAATGGAGAGTTTTGGTCAAGGGGGAGTTATCAAAGATAGGGGGAGCATTCACATAAGAGATTCTCATTTGTTTTAAAAAGATTCAAGCATATCAGCTTTCATTGGTTGTCATCATCAAAAAGGGGGAGATTGTAAAGTCAAGCTTCTTCAATATCATGTTTTGATGAAGACAACTATTATGTGCATATATCAAAGGATGAGCAAAAGAAACATAAGCAAAATGGTTATGGATCAAGATTGCAATTTCATGAAGATTAGATTTGATTGATTGATCTTAAAATTTAATTGGTACAAGTTTCAATTTAAGCTTTGATATATTTTAAGTGCTCAAAATTATTATATTTTCATACATATGCATAACCATCATTTAATCCTATTGCCATTGGTTTAAAGTTTTTTAAACAAGTTTTTTCAAAGTTTTGGGTCAGTGTAACGAGTTACATCAGCCAGGTAACGGGTTACATGAGGTTCAGTGTAACGGGTTACATCAACCAAGTAATAGGTTACATGACCTGGGCAGTGGCACTGTTTTTACGTTTTTGGCGAAATCTAGGTGAGGTAACTGATTACATCTTGAGGTAACCGGTTACATGAGCATATTTTTTGAAATTTTTATTAACGTTAGAGTGATGTAACGGGTTACATCCAGAGGTAACCAGTTACATCACCGAACAAGTGGCTTTTTCAATAAAAAACATATTTAAACATTTTTAACTTTTATACTAGCAATCGTTGCATTGTTTGATCAATTTATACTTTTTCAAAAAGGTGTAATACTCATATAAATACTAAAAACTTTAGATATCAAGTGACACCTCTTTCATAGAAATTAAAATCAATTATTCTCTCATTTTCAAACAAGTGTTTTGACACATAAACTTTCATTGAAATTTTTCTGCATATTGTTTCATATCAGTCCAGAAAAGTTTCATCACCAATCATAAACACTTATATATATATATATATATATATATATATATATATATATATATATATATATATATATATATATATATATATATATATATATATATATATATATATATATATATATATATATATATATATATATATATATTACTGACCTCTAATCAAAATATCAAAAATATTTGTTATGTTTTCTTGTATACTTGTGTTTTATAAGTATCAAGACAAAGCATCCAACAAACATGGTTTTCTAGCATTTTCTTCTGAGGAAATCGGTTTTCCATACAGGTAAATAGATTTCCCTCGCTGTTTTTGTGCCAAGATCTTAAATTTTTGCTGTGGAAATTGATTTTCCATATGGGTAAATCGATTTCATGTGCGATATTTTGAAGAAAAAAAGCAATTTTCAAGTTTGTAATTTTTTGGCCCCAATTTTATTTTTTAGAGAAAATTCTTGATTACACAAAAATAATTTCCCACTTCATAAAAAATAAATTCCATCATACACCTTCATTTGATCACATGTGCACCACTTGATTCAATTTTTGGCTCCAAAATCAATTACCAAGCCTAATTTTGGTTCCAAACACCACTAACCCCAAGCCTAATTTTGGTTCCAAACACCACTAACCCCAAGCCTAAATTCTACAAATAGAGCCCCCATTTCATTCAATTCTCAAGCTTTTGATAGCCAAAATCACCTTGCTAAAAATTCTCTCAACTCTCTTCATCCACCAAATCCACTCAAAGCTCTATTTTCATAAAAGTTAGTAAGCTTTTCATTGAAGCTTGCTAATCTTTGAGCTAAACCTTCATTGAAACACTTTCTCTTTATTAATTCTCTTTATCCAAGCTTAGGATATTGATTCTTGGAGCTGATTTTTGAAGTTGTTTGATAATTTTTCTAGTTTCATCTTTGGTAAGCTGGATCTTCATCTTTCACCATGTGATCTCTTGATGATCTTTGTGATTTAATTCTTGGAGCTACTCTTTTTTATTCAATTGGTGTTATTTTCTCATAATTTGATGAAATTTTCATGTTCAATTAAATCCAAGATCATAAGGTGTTTGTTAAGATAAGTCAAAGATATTTTAGCTAAATTAAGTAGGAAAATATTTGTGCTGTAAATAATTTATTTCATTCCCTTAATAGAAGAGGAATTATAGGGACTTTTTTGTGTGTATATATAATACCTTGATCAATGAATAAAATCATCAGAATTATTACTTTGAAATGTTCTATATGGTATCTAGAGCTAACACCGTCTCTCTTTCAATATAGGAACGATGGTTTTTTTATTTCTTAGTAATTTCTGATGGCTTCTGATAAAAACAAATCGGAAAATTCTGGAACTTCCGCTGTTGTCCAATTCAATGATGCACTCACCCCAGAACGGCTTGACGGCACTAACTACGTCGAATGGTTGTTGAATGCACAGAACAAAATCATAGGCATAAAACGATGGGGTTACGTTACCAGAACAAAGACTGCACCAACAAAAGATAAACCTGATGAATATGAAGCATTGGAAGATGAAAATTG